AAAAACTCAATAACCAGTCTACTGATGATGATAATGATAAATACCCGATTTTAATCAACTCTGTAGTAAGTCAACTGTCCATTACGAATAACAACGATATCAGCGCCTTCACAGACTAGGCCAAGGACCTCAGCACCCATTTCTGCCTCTTTCGCCTGATCACACTGACCGCTAGGGGATAGCGTTTCCCCAGCAACAGGATGCTTGAAAACATTCACGACCGATCCCGGTTTGGATTCCACCGCATAAAACAGCCCTTGGGGGTCTTTACTTCCCATCTGAAAACGATAACAGTGTAAGGTGTTGGTGACAATGAAAAAATTTCAAGGAAATTTGGGGAAATTTCCGAGCACTTCTAGAATTGGTGAGGAAACTCCTGAGCTCAGCTGAGGAAAGCAAACACGCGAGCCGAGAGCATCTATTATTCTTACCACAAATTTGCGAGCCTCTCGAGCTTCCACGATATATGCCATGCCAGGCCAATACGACTTAACTTGCATTTTCTCATCCACAACGCACAAGTCTTCGTCTCCGATTGCAATACCGATAACATCCCCATCAGTCGTCAAGCACCGAGCAAAGTAGCCCAGAGAAGCGATAGAAATCTCCCCGGAAGTGTGAACAGTCGTGATATAAACTTCCTCTTTATTTCTATCGGTCATCTCAACACCAACAGCGCAGTACCCCGTTGTCACAAACTGTACCGAATCCTCATTGAAGACAATCTGAGTTGGCAAATCCTTGAATACCAACTCTTTAGTAACTTCTGCACGCCCATCAGCGTGAATCGCAACGAACGCTATGACGCATCTCTTGTCTACAAATGATGAACATACCAGGACGGTTCCAGCGAGAGTCTCGAGACATCCGTGCAAGAGATCAAACGGCAGAGGCAATTCGATCGTCTTCCCAGCGACCCACAGTCTTCCTCCAGTGAGAAGAACCATAGGGCCCATTCGACTACCGCACCCTCCGAGAATCCTAGATGAACCCATCACACCAAATGGGGAAGTCAGGCCGGCCTCGATTCGCTTACGGTCGAAAGCAAACAGACGCTTCGTGTCGAAAAAGTAGACGACGCTGTCGACGGCGAATGCCCGATTAAGACGCGCCGCGCTCAAGACCTCGAGCTTACCATAACGAGGAGCAGCATCGGTGAGATCCAGCGAAATGGCAGTTTCATAAACAAGTTTGCAAACACCAGGTTCGTGCTTGTAGACGTTGAAATTTCGATACTTGTGCACTTCACCACTCGGTGCTTCAATGGAATAGGAAACGATGGCAGCGGACATATTAATACGACTGATAACAATGACCGCATTTAGAATATTATTTTCATTATAGACAATTATAAGACTATATATTCATTTCTCTTTACACCAGTGTGGGGGGATATGCACATGGTCAACTACATGTGTTGGTGAAAATGGGAAAATTATCAGAAAATTTGGGGGGAATTTTGGTTGGTTTGCCCACACTTCTTCCTCTCATATCAAGGCAAAAGTCATCGTGGATATAATGGGAAAATTTGGAAAAATTTCCCGAAAATTTCGTCAAAAAAATTTTTACATTTTTACTCGTTTTCTGGCGAGGCAAGTCTGCAAGGTCAGAGACAAAATAAGATGGCATATCTCCTCGCACACACGTAAAACGACTAAAACTGAACTGGTGTTGTTGGAGTAGGAATATATGTAATCGCTTTCCTCAGCTGCTGAGCTCAGTAGTTTCCAAAGCTAATTATAGGAGTTGATATACAAATTCGGATAGAAGTGTACAGAAACCAATGAGAGTTTCCCGAAATTTCCTCAAAATTTACATATTTTCACCAACACATGTAGTTGACCATGTGCATATTTTCTCACACACTAGTATTGGTATGAAAGCCAACATGCATCAAGGAAATGATTCTGTGAAAATCGTTCTTATTGAACACTACATTTCTGACAAAATAATAACACCCAAATCGTGGTGACACATCACAGGTGTCACCCCACAGTATCTCCTTCAACACACACGTCACCATCATACACCATACACCTCGACCAACAGTGTTGGAGTAGGAATATATGCAATCTCCTGAGCTCGGGAGTTTCCTCACTAATTATAGGAGTTTATGTATGAACTAGGATAGAAATGTACAGAAACCAACCCAAGAAATTCCCGAAATTTCCTCAGAATTTTTATATTTTTACCAACATATGTAGTTGACCATGTGCATATCCCCCCACGAGTGAAAATGACAAAGCCTATTTCCCTTTTTTTACTCGCGTGCGTGTGTGTGCGTGCGTGCAAATTAATTAGATCAGTTTATAAGACTTGCGGAGACAAGCGTGATACCACCCTATAGCTCTCCATCGCAGAAAAGGGTAAAAATTATCATTACTTAACTTAATGATTTTACTCAGAGCTTATTTAAAGTGCTTGGACAAATCGATTAGCTGGGCGTGCGCGCAACGTCTACAGACGAGAATAATAATTACGGGAAAAATGACACTCCTGGGGATCGAACCCGGGCCCGTTGATCGCAAATTCTTCGAGACGCGATTTAATGGAGTTTCACCCGTTTGACGTAAAGTGGCGTAATACTCTGTGAAAAACGCGATATTCGCGGTGGTATGCAGTAGTCGGGAAATATGTTTTTCACTGGTGTTTTTCATATCACTAGGGTGAAACTCCGATGGTCGCTTTCTTTGAACATTCGAAGTTTTCCTAATGTGGACAGGGGATGATATGCACATGATCAACCACAATGAGGAAACTCTGAGAAAATCCCAGTGCTGCTGGAAAATATGTTCGCTTTCCTCAGCTGAGTTTGACAGTTTCCTCACTAAATATACACGTTAACATACGAATTAGTGTAAAAATGTATAGGAATCAACGAGAATTTATCAGAATTCTCATTTTCTCACCAACATATGTGGTTGACCATGTGCATATTTTCCCGGAAAATATGGTAAATAAAAATTAATAATAAAAAATTTTTCTCTTACCCAAGACGTGTTTAGTCGTTCTTGCTGGTAGAAGGGTTGTCGACACTTAAAAAAATCCCAGTGAGATTCGGAATATTTTCTTGCGGAAAATTCTGTTTATGAATACAGTGTGAACAACAAGCAAACCGTTATTATGCAAAGTAATATTTTCAACACCTCCGAAAGTCAACTTTGAGTAATATCAACATGATAACAATGTGAATCGATTGACACCAACGTTTTAGAAGCGTTCCGTAGTCTATATTCGTATTACTCTCGAATTGGAAGAAAGCCATCTCGAAAATCTACATATGCATAACTGTTTGCTTCGCACTGTAGGAGTTGAAAATTGGCTCGTTACTCAGTGTATATTTATCGTGAAAATTTCAGGGAAAATTTTATTGTATTTTTTATTTTTGGAAATCCGTCATGTTTGCTTAAATCTCAAATAACAGTGTAGGGTCTTTGTTCGAAAGTTAGGTTTCCAGCGATTACCTCGGGGTAAAAATCTCCGTGTGACTTATTCTCCTCAGTACATCGTTCTCTTCATTTTGATCGCCTCCTACCGTCGTAGGGGGCCACTCATAAAAAGGAATAAAAACGCGTTTCACTGTAGCAGAAGAATGACAGTAATATTTCAGGCAAATCGACATAAAAAAACTTTTAATTAACTTTTTGCATAAAAAACTTGCAAAAACTGCATAAAAATCGACTTTCGCCCAGTTTGCA